GAGAAGGAACTTCTACTTATTTACATACTTGTTCTGTCACTGCTCTTCTGCACTTCTGTCCCCCATCTTGCAGTGCACTGGAAGCTGTGGTGGGGCTGTGTGTTGCTGATGTTACGCAGGCAGTTCTGGCTCAGTTGACCTGCCCTTCCAGTGACATTGAGTCACTTGTTGCAGTAAATAGTGTCTGCTTCTGTTTTTTTCTTGGGTTAACCCTACTAAGCAGTATTGATATGGAATTGCCGTAAGTTATCACAGTCATTTCTGCTCTTCAGAGCTCTGAGAGAAGGCAGTAAGTTGACATTTGTCAGTGTTCTCTGCTACACAGTGAGTTCTATGATTTCTAGATTCATGGAGACATTGCACTTGATTCATACGTAAGGCATTACCAACACAACTGCTGGGATAAGATATATTAAGGTCTCTGCATCACCCTCCCAAAATAAAAATGCTGGCATTATATGAGGGAGAGGTTCATGGTGTTAGAGGACTGTTTGCAATTCTGCAGTCTGTTCTTAGATATCTGTGTTCTGTTGATAGATTTTGGATGGTTTTCTTGCTAAAGGTAGAACTGCTTGTTCAGATGATAAGTTACAGTTGTGACAGAGTGATAGGAAATGCTTCAATTACATAACAGTGCAAGCTTAAGTGCACACAGAGTTCAAAGATGTGATTTTTAGATCCATCTTCGGCAACATAAAGCCTTATCTTGTAAATTATAACAGTTACTGTATGATTATACATAAATATCTGTTCCTTGAAGGAGGCATAACAATTTAATCTCAGGGTATTTTGACACACTAGACCAGGCCTATCAGAGTTGCAGAAACTGATATAAAAATGAATGAGCTGACATCAGGTATATGAGCTGCCAGAAAACCCCAAAAATCAGTAATGGGAAATGGTGCCTTCCAGCACTGTTGTTAAACCACATCTGTGGCACATGGTTCAGTGCTGTTCCCCCAAAGGCCTCTGCAGCTTCATGAAGCTACACGATGCAACACTTTCACTTCTCTTCCAGTCCTGGCTTTCTCCAGTTAAACTTTCATATGGAGAAGTTTAAGGGCAGGGCAAACTCAAGGATAATTTGAAAGTTCATTCTGACTTTTGAAAACAATTCTGAATCTTCATGCTCTGACAGGGAGTAAAACAAAGAAACACGGTCTGCCACAGTAGAGTATGCATGTTCAAGGCACGTGTCTGTCTCTGTTCAGCCTGTTCAGGACCCAGCTTTCTCCATTCCCTTTGCTTTTGTGACCTTTAGTTGTATGAATGGTCTTTGGCAGTCTGTACTGACCAGCCTCATTAGCCTGCACTGCTTTTCATAGATTTTTCAGTCTGAGAGATTGCTGTGTTTACCCTTAAACAAAAGCAGCAGTTAACTATCTTTTAGTAATACATGAGGTAAGGTGAAAACAGAAAACTGATGGTGGCAGCTTGAAAAGGTATCCAAGGTCTGTGATGTCTCAGTCCTTTAAATAGCATCATTACCTGGCAGATGAAAAGCATGTTTTTAAACATTGTGTGCCCAGTCCCTGAAGTGACTTAATCTCTAAATTAGTTCACATAAAATCTCCTATTCATAGAATGGGGGGAGGGGAAGATTTTCTTCAGTACTAAAATGCTGTTTTGGTTTACACTCCCCCATTTGCATATGTCTGGTACATTATGAAGACTGACAAAGTACTCGGTGGTACAGATCTGTAGCTGGAGGCTGTGTACTGCAGTTTCAGTACTATGTTCTAGGTACGAGGTTAGTACTGTTCAGTGTCTTCATTAATGCTCTGGATGATGGGACGCACTACCCTCAGCAAGTTTCCAGATGATACAAAACCAGGAGGGGTGATTGATAGATCAGAGGGATTTTCTTCATCCTTAGGGACCTTAGCAAGATGCAGAAATGATGTGACAAGAACCTCATGAGCTTCAACAAAAGGAAGTGCAAAGTCCTGCAAAGAAGGCTAATAGTATCCTGGACATTTGGTAAGTATTGCTATCAGGTTGAGGAATGTGATTGTTCCCTTCTTAGCACCTCAGCACCTAGAGAGTGCTTAAGTACTTAAGTACTGTGTCCAGTTCTGGGCCTCCCAGTCCAAGGGAGACCTGGATGATGTACTGCAGAGAGTCTGGTGAGGGGTTGAAATGAAAGGACTGGAGCTCCTCTCCTGTGAGGAGAGGCCATGCCAGCTGGGACTGTTCAGCCTAGAGAAGGCCAAAAGAGGATCTCATTAATGTCTATAGATATCTGAATTAAGGGTGCAAAAAGGACAAATCAAGCTATTTTCAGTGGTGCCCAGGGCCAGGACAAGAGGCAGTGAACACAAACTGGAACACTGGAGGTTCCTTCTGAACACCAGGAAGAACTTCTCTTCTTTACAGGTGCTGAAGTTTTGGCACAGGTTTCCCAGAGAGGTGTTGAATCATAGAATGGCCTGGGTTGAAAAGGACCACAGCGATCATCCAGTTTCAACCCCCTGCTACGTGCAGGGTCTCCAACCAGCAGACCAGGCTGCCCAGAGCCACATCCAGCCTGGCCTTGAATGCCTCCAGGAATGGGGCATCCACAGCCTCCTTGGGCAACCTGTTCCAGTGCATCACCACCTCTGAGTGAAAAACTTCCTCCTCAAATCTAACCTAAACCTTTCCTGTCTCAGTTTGAAACCATTCCCCCTTGTCCTATCACAATCCACCCTCATAAACAGCTGTTCCCCCTCCTGTTCATATGCTCCCTTCAGGTATTGGAAAGCCACAGTGAGGTCCCCTTGGAGCCTTTTCTTTTCCAAGCTAAACAATCCCAGTTTCCTCAACCTTTCTTCATAGGAGAGGTGCTCCAGCCCTGTGATTGTCTCAGTGGTCCTCCTCTGGACTTGTTCCAAAAATTCTGCGTCTTGTACAGGGGGCTCCAGGCAAAGTGGTGTCTCCTCCTTGGGGACATTCAGAAGTAACCTGCCTGGATATCTAGCTCTAATGACCTTGCTTAAGCAAGTGCACTGGGCCAGATGATTTCCAGAGGTCCCCTTCCAAGCTTTCTTATTAAGGAACACTTTTTACTCTTCTTGCTGGAATACTAGATATGAGACTGACTGTTCAGCAATCTAGTAAAATAGATAAAAAATGTCTTAAAGAAGCTGATTAACTGCTATGTCCAGAAGTGATTGGTTGGAGGAAGAATTTAGTTCTTGGAAGCCTGTTTTGTTCAGTCACTTCACGGCTCTTCATAAAAATAGCTTCCTTCAGGAGTCCTGAATGAAGTGGGTGAACTTAGTTTGAAGTCAGATGAGCTACTTAATCACAGACATTTTACTTAAAGCTCTTTGAAGAGCACTGGGTATTGTGCTGACCCTTGCTTTTTTTTCATTTTTTAGTGATTCCAGTACGATAACATGCATACTAAATATTTTGTGTAAAATTATCCACATTTACGTGTAGCTCTCTGCTTGCAGATATTGTGGTTGTGATGCACAAAATGAATTGTCATGAGGCATAGGAACTAAATTGCAATTTGTTGCTATCAGCTGGCAGCAGTGGTCAGAAGAATAAAAACATCGCCAGTTTCCCCATTGTTTTTATGAACTTATCCCTTAAAATAGAAACTCTGATTTTCCCACTCTGTCCCTCTGCCCCTCAACTCTCTTCACTTGCATTGCTCTGATGTAACCAGGTCTGATTTTAGGGAAGGCTGAACAATTAGAGGTTTTTCTGAAAGTTCCTTACCTTGTTCTTTGTTCTTCAGTGTAACAGGATTAAAACTCAAATTAATTAATAATGTTCCCCAAACAAAATTCCTGGCAGAACTCTGGAGCAACCTGATGCCCTCCTTATCCACCTTTCATGTTCTTTTAATGCTTGGGGTCCATTCTATTCTGGTTGTGTGGGAGGTGTTTTGTGCCTTAAAATGTGTGTGGTGTGCATATGTGTGGTGCTTTGATCTTTCAGCCTGTGATGCATTGAGCTCTGCAGGTTGGCTAATAGAGTCTCCAAGGTTAGCTGCCCAGAAAGTTTGGAGAGAGGAAAAAAAAAAATAAGGCAAAACCAACTTTTACAGCTGTTTGAATCTTCAGATAGAAAACAAGGTCAGCAGTAGCTATAATCATTTGCAGTGGATAAGGCATGACATTTTAAAAGATGCTTTTGATAAGATTTGTATAGTTTTTCTGCTGGGCCAGATAAGGAAATATTTTTATGATTTATTTTTGTCAAGACTCAGCTGGTTGGAGCTGTATACCAAAAAAGCTGTTGATAATTTCCAAGGAAGTAACATGAAAATATTTATCTGTAAACTGCTGTCCTTGTAAAACTCTAATTGGTCCTCATACTGCTCCTCAGTATGTTAACCTTAGTGTTGGTCTCCATAATGGAATCAAACCTGTTGGAAGGTTATGAAAGAAACTTTAAAATTGCCTCAGCAATCCACAATTGGATAGGAAATGCCTACACGTGCTTTCTTTGTTTTACTTTGTTTTACTTTCTTAGTCTTACTTTGCAGCAGCTACTTCATTAGTTCTCAGTCTACAAATACTGTGAGAAACTTCTGATAAGGTGGCAGACCAACCCATTCCACTCCATTGTTTAGCAACAGCTGCTTGGGACTCTGGAGACTTGGGTTTATGTGTGTTGTATCTAGTTCTCTGACCTCGTAGACTTCTTTAAGAGTCAGCAGTGTTGAAGTAAAATGATGTTCCTATAATGCTCGTTACTTCTCAGATGTGTTGCATCACTAATTTCCCTTGTGTTTTTGTTTTTGTTTTCATTGCCTTCTTTCTTCTTGGCCACAGAAATGCGCTATGCAACTTTGTACTGGAATAAAGCTCAAAAAATACTTCAGGTCAAGAATATACTGGACAGGAGTGGAGATGCATATGGCTTCTACAACAACACTGTACAGACAACAGGTTGGGGAGTTCTGGAGATCAAAGCAGGCTATGGCCATCAGACCTTAAGCAATGAAGATATCATGTATGCAGCTGGATTTTTGGAAGGCTATCTCACAGCTCCGTAAGTACCTCAGGAAGCTTCTCAACTTATGACTCTTCCAGTGGATTTCTGTGCTAGTGAGGTGTTTTTTTTTTATACACTTTCTATCCTTTCCCTTATATCCTGTTAATTGAAACTATTTGTGGTAACATAGTAGTTACATTTTTGTAACATAGTAGTAACATTTTTGTGGTAGTGTGCTGTTTTTTTTGATTAGTAGCAAGTATGAAAGCATCATCACCACAGTATCAAGTTATGGCTCTGTGCCTTCTCCTCCTGCAGGCTCTCTTGACACGTCACTGAGATCAATGAGAACTGCATCTCTATTACTGGTTAAATAACGTAATCACAGAATAGCATATGTATAATGAAATGTGTAAGCACTATGTTGTAAATAATTACAAAAGAGGCAGCAGAAAGAATAGTTATTTCCTCGGCATACAGGTAGGTGACTGATGAACAGATGAGACAATGATCAGACAGGGAGAGACAAAGACTGCAGGGCTTCTGTAAGGAGGTTTTTCAGCAAACACTGTCAAAAATCTACTGGAGAAACAGGTGCTGAAACTTTACAGTGTGGGAAGTTTGGTCTCTCTTGGACAAAGTAAAAAATGCTGATATACCAATAGACAGACAGATGTGTGTCTAGAAGGATCCCTGTGGAGAGAAAATGAGGGATTGAATCTCTCCCACAGTGTAGATGTGTGAAAACAGTTGTTTTTTTGTGCTTGTTACAAATTCAATGAATCCAGAATAGCTTTTTAAAAAAAAAATAATTCAGAAGTTCTTTCCCTTACTAAGCAGGAAGACAGAATTGATGGGATATAGCTGGAGATACAAGTATACTAAGCATGTGACACATGGCTTGCTGAACAAGCTTGATTTTTTTTTTTTTTTTTTTTTTTTTTTTTAATTATTATTATTTTTTTTCCCCTCTATGATTTTAGTCTCGGTAAAAGAAAAATTCCCGAGTCAGCACAGTAGGCTTTTCTGAAGAGCAGATGTCTGGGATGACTTTTGAACAAGATATTAATGTAATCAGTAGTAAGACATTTTAAGATCAGTTAAGATTTTGTGGATAGTTCTCTGATCATAGTTATTATGACTCTCTAGTAGGTTCCTCTAATGGAGGGACATCCATTAGATGGTCTCTGAACAAGACTTTTACACTATGAAGGAAACCCAGTTAAACAGTGTTTGTCAATTAAGAAAATTCTTTCTGAGGGAAAGAAGAATCACAAAATCACAGAATTGTAGGGGTTGGAAGGGACCTCCAGAGATCGAGTCCAACCCCCCTGCCAAAGCAGGTTCCCTACAGCAGGTCGCACAGGTAGGCATCCAGGCAGGTCTTGAACATCTCCAGAGAAGGAGACTCCACCACCTCCCTGGGCAGCCTGTTCCAGTGCTCCGTCACCTCACTGTAAAGAAGTTCTTAATTTACCCTTCTAGGATTCTCTTTTCCAGAAGAACAGAAGAAATGTGATGTGTAGCTTTAGTTCAAGAAAGGAGACCTAGAGTACTGAGTGCACAGCGTTTAACCCAGGCAGGAAAGAGAAAGAAGTACGTGAGAAATTTGGTTATATGCTGTTTAGATTATTTTGCATAAGAAGTTACAGCTTTGCACTACTTAATTTCTATAAACTACATATGGATGTGGGGGAATCGCACCATTACATGAGAATGTTACTCCTTAGATTTTTCTCTAAGGCTTTGTATACTCATCCTTAAGTGTTTAAGCTTAAGTTTTGTCATACTATGTAGATGGTCCAATCTGTGCTAAGCTTAATTAGATAGCAAGAAATGTTCTAGGAGCAACAACCCACTTCCTGGTCCAGATCCATAGTTGATCTGCAAGTCTTCCTGACTGTCCTTTTAAGCAGACTTAAGTATATGCCCATTCCTTTAGGAATGGACTGAGTGTGAAACAGCGTCTGCAAAGTCTTTATCTGATGTCTCAGTCTATGCTTAGGTTTAGGGGAAGGAGTGCTGTTCCACATCCCCTTCCTCTTGGCTACAGGTGTTAAGTGAAGCTTCACGGAAGTGAAGGTGCTCACCAGTTACTCTGCTCAAGGCCTTTGCTTTCTCCAGACCAGATGCTTACTACCGCTGTTTCCCAGCCTCAGCCATTTTTATTGCAGGGCTATGAGCTCCACCAATGACTATTGAGAGGTAGATAAGCAGAAATTATACTGAACAGAGGTCTTAGAGTCTGTGGAAATGAGCTTGAGGGTTTGCGTCAAGGAAGAGACTGAAGAAGTAGGGTTTGAGATTTGGGCTTTTAAGTGAACCTTGAACAGCTTTAAAACAGATAGGTGTGGCAGCGGGTTAAGATGTGTGTTAAAAGCTTGATCTCACAACTCCATTCCTGCATCTTTATCTTACCTGGAAAGTGATGGAATCCTAACTGACATGCAGTCAGATGTTCTTTCTTTGGAGTGGTTACACAAGTCTTTTATGGTGGAACTAGGAAATAGCATCTCTCAGACTGTAACCCTGTTCCATTCAGACAGCCTGGCAGCCAGCTTTTAGGTAAGCTTTTTCTAGCACCATCATTACTTCTCAGAAGATAATGAGTCTCTAAACACTGTCACTCTGCTTTTGCACACGTTTGTTGTCCACAGTAGCTGCACACAGCTCAGCCTTCCCTCTGAAGGCCTTTTCTGTCCTGCTTACAGCAAGGAAGAGTGTAACTCGGTGTTTGACAGTGTTGAAGGCTTTATTTGTATCAACAACCACTTAGCTACCAGAGTGACGAGGCTTATGTCACTTGCCTGTACTGGCACCACTGCTGTGGGTGGCTCTTTATACCACAGCCCTCCGAGGTGAATACATGAGGTATGCTTGCTAATTGAGGTGTCCTGTAGTATATTGTTTCCTTAGTCTGGGCAACTAACTCCAAGGTCTCATCTGTCACACATCCATTTATGGTAACGACTCCACAAAGCAGAAATGACCCAAGGTGCGTCTTTGTGGGAACCCATAAGTCCTACCAGGAAGCACTCTGATCTCATTGTGTTGTATTAATAGGAAGGATACATTGCAGGCCTAATCCAGGTTGAAGTACAGGTTCCTGCAGAAGCTGCCAGCTCCAGTTTGACAGTGGCTGCATTTGGAGAGCTTCAGGAATTCTCAGCTATCCCAGTTCTTTCATTGCACTTAAGATGTGAAGGAAGGTTTCTAGACTCAGCTAGGCCTTATGTATGCCTAAGAGTGACAAAATTTCTCTCAAGCATACGTTTTTTTAGGAACCCAAGGAGAATGTAATAAAAATGGATTTTTAAAAAAAAAAAAAGACAAAAAAAAAAGACATGGGACTGTATGATCTCAAATTACTGGGGAGGAATTCAACTCAGCTCTTGTTTTGTAGGTCTGTGGTATAAAAACAATAGCTAAGCTAGACCCATCTACCAGTGGACATGATTCATCTTTCTAGAATAGGCACCTGATTCAAATAGCGACTGTCCATTTTGAAAATAGTCAGGGGCAGGATACATCTAATTCTTGTATCTGGAGAGCCATATGTTTGTTTTTATCCCTAGTCTCAGGTCTCTCTGTAAGATCCAGTCCTATTGTCCAGCTGAAATTTTTTACTGTGGCTTTCTTGGATATGAATTCCCTTCCCCCATTACAAGAGAGATGTTACTGAGGCATACTTTACTCAAGCAATGGCAGAGCACATCCAGATCAGTGACATTCAGTGCATGCTATTACTCAGTTTTGACTGAGACATACCAGCTGCCTAAGAGCTGGTATTAAATTTGAAGCAACATTAATTGTACTCTTTTCTGATATAACCTCAGCTGACCTGAGTCCTGTCATCTTCCTCTCTAATTTGAAGAAGCATAGCTCTGCTTTGCTGTTTTTGGACTTTGAATTCTTGTCTCAACTTTGTAATTGCCTTGTTTTTGACTTAGATACAGCTGCAAAGCCTTACGTTATTGTAATGATCCAATTTACTTCAGAAGGTAATTCTCTTACAAAACTTGCAGGCCTTGCATATAGAAGCTTTGTTAGAAGGGAATAAAAGATGCAAAAAACCCCCCAAATGATAACACAGGGCATCTAAGGGGAAAAGAGTCTCAAAAACTTTGTGCATTAATAAAAAATCCCAGGAATCATCTGGCCTCTTGGTATATGCAAGAAGGAGGCCCATTAAAGAAGCTGGTTTCACTCCTCTGGTTCTGAACAAACCCACTCTGTATCAGTCATCACAGCCTAACGATACCACTGCTGTAAAATCTGCCTTGTGTTGCATAAATTTTGAGAACTCCAAATGAAGGACAGTTATGGCTCATAGTTGAGTCTAGAAGCCTGGTCATCTGTCCTGGCCCAGGCAGTGGTCAGAGCAGCATCCTTGTTGTTTCTATCCTCTTAATCTGGTTCTTGTCCCTGAAAGACTATCTGCTAGATGGATTGTCTCCTGCTTTCCCTTTTTCAGCGCCGTCAGGGATCAGACTTGTATGGCATATGTTATGCTATGATTTCCATACTAAAATTGCTTGGGATTTTTATTTGCCAAATTTGCTGGGACTGCAGGGATGCAAAATATTAATCTGGCTCTTCAAATTTCTTGTCCACTTCAATAAATGGGTAGGAATTAAGGCGTGTATTCTGGGAGGAGAACAGATAACTCTAGAACTAAAATTGATGCTACAGTTGGAGTTCCATAAAAAGTGTGATGGTGTAAGGCTGCTGAGTGCTTCCTTCTTTGACTGTAGCTCCTCCTTCCACATATCCAACCCCTCTCACTTGTGCCTACCCAGACACTCACCAAACTCTTTCATATTGATTCATTTACTAAGATAGAATCATAGAACCATTAAGGTTGGAAAGACCACTAAAATCATCCAGTCCAACTGTCAACTCATCACCACCATGCCTAATAAAACACGTCATTTAATGCCACATACAACCTTTTCTGGGAAGCCTCCACGGATGGTGGTGGGCAGCCTGTTTCAGTGCATCACCAATCTTTCAGAGAAATTTTTCCTAATATGCAGCCTACGTGGTTGGATATTAGGAACCTCCCCTGGGGCAACCTGAGGGCATCACCTGTTACCTGCATGAAAAAACTGACCTTCAACTCATCACAACCTCCCTTCAGGTTGTTGTAGAGAACAATAAAGTCTCCCCTGAGTCTCCTCCAGACAGAACAGTCCTAGTTCCCTCTCAGTCTCCTCAAGCTTTCTTCTCATACCACTTCTGTCTACATAAAAGCTAGAAAAGCAATTTACATTTTTTTGCTGGGTTAGTGTTTTACCTGAATGTGTGCAGAACAATTAGATTGAGTGATCAGAAGGGTACCAGAAGTGACATAACAGGGTCATGCAGTCAAAAACAGTTGAGAATGGGGCAAGGGACAAAAAGAAGGTCAGTAGATCATATCTCTAATTATCAACAAACCATTCAGTCATCTCTGGCTGCATTCTCTAATTATGGCCTCTAATTATGCTCTGAGAGAAATTGGAGAAAAAGAGTACCTGTCTGCACAGCTTCCAGAGGGAGTTGCCCTTCAGAGTTTTGTACAGAGAGTATTGTTGTGCCGGCATTTGCTTTCCTTGAGGCTAATGCCTGCTTCTTAGTTCTGTTTTGTCTTGGAACTTAGTGGGAGCTAAGTTCATCATTCTAGTGATGACTGATGTAGTTCCACCAACTCCAGACTTCAGCAAAGTAATTTCCTGTTGACTTCTACTTAGAACTAAATATTCCTACCTACGCTTTTTTTTTTTCTTCTCAGTGGCTGAGCAGGCGTTAGTTCAGTTTGCACAACATGAAG